TAGTTTTATTGCATAATTCAGAATATATTTTCTATAATTGGGAATCCTGTTTTATAAAAAGAATTGCTGATTTAAATTCTCCAAGGACTTGTGCTTATATCTAATATGAACATGAAGCACTACAAAAATGAATTCTTCAAAATTTCATAAAATTAAGTAAGTGGTGGGGTAAAAATTTAAAAAAAATATATTTTACTAAGATTTTCTATAACAAAAAAAAATTCTTAAATAATTGCATTTATTTGTGACTAAGTTCTGAAAGTTTTATTAAAATCTGACAATTATTTAATTTTTGCAAGAATTTCAAAATCAATGTTTTCCACTGCAAAAAGATGCTAAAATTTCCAATGCTAATTTGCAGTCACCTACTGAAGCAACAAAAACAAAATTTTTAAGATTCTGAAATGGATTTAAAAATACAATTTAATAATCCAAAAAAATCCTTTCTTCTTAATAAAGATTTTGCAATAAAACTTTGTTTTTATTAAGTTCAGGACAATTTTTTCATCAAATCTTTGATGGTAACTAAGCGTACAGATATACACAAATGTACATACCAGAATGGGCAGGAAGTGTTAAAAACTAATTTTAACTAGTTACTAGTTCATACTCAAAACAAAAGCAGTGGATAGTTGGTTCAAAGTCATAATTGTTTACTATATTCAAGTCACCCTAAAAAGTCTTTCCACCTAAACTTGCTTTATGATTGTTTCTATATCCAGCCAACCTGAAAGTTGTATCCATTCACTTTGAATAAAATCAAATCTGATTGATTGTAAAACTGAATATATATAAAATATAATATATATATATATATATATATATATATATATATATATAAAAGCCAAATTAATGACAAAATGGGAAAAAACCTCTGAGTGACAGGTTTCATTCTGAGAAGGAACTTCTTCAGACAAATAATTTTTCTTGTTGGAATCAATCTTACATATAAAAAGGTAGCAGGGTAGGGGAAAAATACAGCAAATGAGGTTACAGTTTGCATCAAAACATTAAAGAAACTGGGATGCTCAGCTGTAAATTTTGACGTTCAATGCATCTAGACGTTAACGTAACCTACTTTATTCAGTCAATTGCTTTCATTTTTTATTTTATATCATGATTTTTAATTATTCTTCATTATCAAAAAATATAATAAATATATATTTTTTTTAAATTATCTTAATTTTTCAAACAACATTACAAAATCAAAATGATAACAAATAAGCAAACCTATCAAAAATAATAAATATATATTTGTTAAGTAATAAAATTAAAAATTATAAGTTTTACTATGGTGGTCCATTTGTAATAATTAGGTAATTAGAGAGAATAATTTTTATAGATTAGCATTCCAGAGATCTTACCCAAATCATTGTGTCAAAACAAAAACACTGATTTTTATTATTTTTAGAAGCAGGGCCTGTTGATGATATCAAGAGTGTTAAACTGATCCCCGATTTTTTTACAGAGTTATTGGATTTGGCTGATACAGTGTAACCCGGATATAAGAGAGATGTTCTCTGGTCCCAAATTAGAGCCTGTATATAAAATAGACCAAACCCGGATATAAGAGACGACTTCTTCGGTCCAGACAACTCTCTTATATCCGGGTTACACTGTATTTGCAAATGTCAAGTTTTAAACTGTGTTTAGTTTACATCACTGATATCTGCCTTTTAAAAACTTTTTTTTGTCGGCTGGGATTTTTTCAGAAGCACATACACAAACATTGGGGGATAATAAATTATTTATCTTAAATGAAGAATAAGCAGATATGTAAAATTTTGTTCTTTAATTAAAAATGTATATATCCGTTCTTTATTTAAATGAAATCTTTTTAGCAAAAAAAAAAAAAAAAAAAAAGACGTATATTTTCAAATGCAGAACAGCTAAAAAATTAGATTACTAGAGTAGAGTGCTTTTTGTGGTGTTCCCAGAATCCACTAGGAGTCTGTATGTTCAAAAAGAAAAAAAAAGATAGGTGATATTGACCAGAGCATGTATGAGGAAGTTCTAAAAAGTTCACAAAGCAATCAAGATAAAAAAAAAAAATTCTGACGTTTTGTGAAGTGAGTCAAGACAAAAACTCTTTAGAGTAACCGGTTTTAGGTTAATGGAAAGGTTTTATCAAAATTTAGATTCCAAGAAAAAGTTAGAATTGCTATTGCATCACTACATTTCTAAAACTTCTTAAAGAATGATTAGACTTAACATTTTCTCTCAAGCATTTAAACAAGATTTTATGTTCAACATCAATATAAATGAGACATTATTTGCCGATAGCTGGGGCCCTAAAACATGGTGGATCTGGGAACAACAGCAATTAACAGGTGGTTCCATGCTCCTCAAAACCTCGAAAACAATCTGAGGCATTGCTACTGGATGTGCATAGTTTATTGTCATATCCGGGACTACCCCAATTCAGAAATTGACCTCACAATTATTATTACTATATCAGCAAATTCACGAAGCAATGCTTTCTTCATCCAAATAGGCTGTGTAAGGCTCCAAGTTCCTCCACAGAGAATTGTTCTACAGGACAATAGGCGAGTGGATTTAAAAAGAATTGGTTCATGAATTTGGTGACATAGTAACCGAGTTTTCTTTTGGGGGGGGGGGCATGTAGCGTGTTTTTTAGGGATCTCATGAAGGTATCTCTACGTGTACTTGTACTGGAAACAGAGTGAGCAATAACTGAGCAGTTAAAAATAAGTACACGAATATCGGCAAACATGGGCAGTGGAACAAGAACAATCTACTCCCGTAAAAAGGGTTCAGTTCGAAATTTCCTGTCGTGTACGTTACCCGGATCGATATACTCCTGTCCTGATGAAGGCAGGAGGGCACAATGTGAATGTAAATAAATAATTGGTTTGTTAGAGAAATGACAAAGTGCATGAAGATTGAAGAGAAAAGTAAAAACTTGCTAAATTGATTAGTAAAAAAAAAGATAAACATTTTTTTTAAATTTTTTGTTAATATGCATAATTTTGAAACTAATTAAAAAATAAATTAAAAACAACTTTAAACTATTATTACCTATGACTTAAAGTAAAAAACACATTAGAAATTGATTTTCGTTAGACATTTTGTTTAGTCTGAAATTTTACCGTATTTACAAAGTTCCTTCTCTGAGCGGATTAATTTTTTTTATCCATAATTTTTTTTTTACGCCATCAGTCTGTTGTCGAAAAAAATTTTTTTTTTTTTTTTTTAAATGTGAAGTAAAATTTTTCTAAATCATGCTTCTTCTTAGAACCTAAATAATTTCCCTTATCTTGAATCATTGAATGCAATAGATATTTTTTTCCAATTTGAAAGAAAAAAAAATGAATGAAGAAATGATGGAATATTTTATTTTTTCCTTTCAAAAATGACTCGGTCACTACACAGAAATTCTCTTCTGATTAAAAAAAGAAAAAATCCAAACTTGTTCTGTTCACGATTTAAAATTAAATAGCGAAAGAAAGAGAAAGCAAAGATCCGAGTTTTTAAGCACTATAAATTGTGGTTCTTTAAATGTGTTTTTGTTTTAAAAAAAAAAAAAAAAATATAAAATTTCCCCAAATACTCCTTGGTTTTACAACACTAGTAGTAAACAATGTCAATATTACAATCCCTTCCTATCAATTTAAACACGTTTAACTTAAACGTGTTAATAAATTGATAGGAAGAGTCTTGGTTTGCGTTTAAAGCCAAGCCTCTTTCTTTTTCATTACCTTTTTTTAAGCTGAAAGGCGCCACAGAGCACTTGTTGATGTAGTTTCAAATCAACTTAATGTTCTAACCCCTGGCTAAACAATATGCAGTCTCCCTTTTTTTCTTTTTGTGAATGTTATTTTCATTTTGTATTAACAAAATAAATGCTTGCAATACTGTCGAGTGATGAAAAGAAAATTACTAGGATTACTATTATTTATTCAGCTATTCAATTTATTTAGAGAAGTACAGCACGAGATCGTGGGTTGCATTTTTTTTGTCCCTCAAGAACCCGGAAAACAAAAGTGGGTTGAAAAAAGTGTGGGGGAATACCAGCCCTTCTCACATGTCCTGATGACAATCTTGTCACTGATAACAATGGCCAATTGTCTGTCCACTGGGTAAATGTTAATAAAATGAGTGTGTCTTGGGAGGAGGTATTGTTCTGGTTGATGTGTAAAATTAAATTTGTAAAAAGAAAAAAGAATTTTTGGAGACATGACAAGTGATTGCTCATCTCACTGACATTATTGAAGTACTTAAAAATTAATGAATGAATGTAAGTTGTTTTTTTTTTACTACATGTGTGATTGGGATGTTGCTCATTTGGTAAACAAAACATTAAAGAGAATCTTTTGGGAATTAGAGAAACGTATCGCCGACTTTAACAACCAAAAACATTTTTGCATCTCAAATACTGAATTACCTCCCCTAGTTTATTTTACCTACGCTCATATTAGAATGTTGCCTGACTTTACTTTAGAAAAAAAACAAAATAAATCAATAAATTTATTGTAGAATAAATAAATTTATGAGATTAGTTGTTATAATAATTTACAATAAGAGAAATTAATTATCATTTCGCACTATGTTTAATTCTTTCTTTTTTTTTTTATTTCTCATGAAAAACTTTCAGGTCCAAAAGAAGTGGGTTCAATCTTTTTTTGTGTTAATTTTTAATTATTTTCTTTCGTTTTACAAGTATTGGTCACAAAATGTTAAATTATATTTTTCAGTTTTTTTTATTATTATTATGTGAAAAATAGGCATTCCTCGAATATGAGGCGAGGTAAAGCAATCTCAGGGAGGCAATCCAGTGAAAATTGTTTCGGATGCTAAACTCGAGTTGATCTTGAGAGATAAAAATCGTTTTGTTTATAAAACAATAAAACATGGTGGAACTAAAGAGCAGCATTCACTATGAAAATGTCGATTTAAATGAGTTTGTTAATGTGTTATTTTAGTTCTGTAGATTCAACTAGTACCGTCAGCGGAGAAACAAAAGCAGCCGACACAGCGAAATGGAGGAGGAAGATCTATCAGACAACCTCTTGTCTCGCAGAAAGAAGCCAGAAAAAAAAGTACTCTGTTACTCTCCTCCCTTGCAGTCGATGAGGCAAAGCATGTCTGTCCCGTATGGATTTCTCTCACTATCTGACAGGTTGTATCAGACGTGGAAGACCCTTTTAAATTTCATTCGTCAAGCAACATAACAATAATGACGATGATGATATATAATATTAATAATAGTTATTATAATAAACTGACCTTGCTTCTCCCACCACTTTTTTTCTTATCAGAGAAAATAATATTTTAGGGGCAAACATACATTACAGGTCCCCACTAAAATCTTACCAGACAACCAAAAATATTTTAAAATTGAAAGCTGAATATAAAAAGTCTAAAAACTAAATAAATTTTATCTCAATGTCTCCCTAACGCCTATCAAAATACGGACAAAGTACTTGAATTTATTTTTTAACGTATTTTAAGGTGAGCAGAATTTTTATCAAGAAAGCGCTTAAGCGCACTAGAACGACAATTTCAATTAATTTTAGTCGTTTTTCTCTGTTGATCGTTTTCTTCACAAAAATTCTGCTCACCTTTAAAAAAATAATAATTATCCACATCTAGAACGTTGGAGTGAATTCTAAGGAGTAAACTAAACAGAAAAAAAACACCTGTTTTTCATTTTTTTGTCATTCAATAAAAAAAAAAAAAAAAAAAAAAAATTAATAAATTTGGCAGTTCCTTTTATTTTTAACTACTTCATCAGAAAAAAATTAAAACACTATCCAAGAAAAATAAATGTTCCATTCATTATCTTTATTAAAAAATGAAATTAAAACAGAAAATTTGCAAGACAACGATGTATTGTACTTTTCATTCGCAGAATAGGCATACCGAAAACGAAAAAGTACATCGCGCACGCTGCATGTCCTCCGGATGGCCCGAGGACTCATAAATAAGCTTTTTTTTATGTATTATTAACCATCCTATTAAATTAATAATAAAATAACTGCTTTTTATATAAATTTTATATTGGAAAGACAATTTGTTTTTTATTCAACAACAATGCCAGTCTGATATCATAAAAAAAAAATTTAGGACTAAAGATTTCTAATAAAATAAAAGAAAAAGAGAAAACACTTCAGGAAAAAAAAGTAAACAATTAAAACTTTTTTTTTTAAGTATCAACATACAATAATAATCATCTGAAAACCACCTCCATTGGTTGGTAGTACACTACTAGTGTTCCAAGCTACGGTAGACATAAGTATTTTTTATGTTAGTTAGTCTCACGTTTGTTTGGAATAGTGTTGATTCTTTTTATTTTACCGCTCTAAACAATTTTCGCACAGTAAAACAACACTGAATGACATCTCTCACAATTTTGTTTAATTAGCCTCATATTTTGACCCCTCCTTTCAATAACTTTTTCCATAATTAAAAATCGAAAGATTTCGTGAAAAGAATAAAATATGGGATTATATTTGGCTTGACTTTTAAAAAAAAAAAAAAAAAAAAATATCCCCATTTTTTTTTTTTTTTTAGTCGCTAATTGAAACAAAAACATTGCATTTCGATCGTTATTTTTCGTTTTATTTTTAAGCATGGCCTTTCTTTTCAAATCTAAAGCAGAACAGAATATGAGGCTAGCTAAATAAATCATGGGAGGTAATTCATGGCGTGCTATGCGAAAATAGTTTAGAGCTGTAAAAATCAATATCATCCAATGATGGCAGCTTTCTGACTTTAGGGTTACGTAAGGTTATTTATGGGTTATGATTTACAACTTTACATTTTTAAAACTTTAATGAAGATCGAAGTTCAGGTTCGAACCCTGAGGCTTTGGAAAACTCTTTTTCTCCATACTCGACGAGAATGTGGAGCCGGGTAAGTATATTTACCAAAATAAAATAAAAAATAAGTGTTTATCTATTGTTTTTTTGTTTTCAAATCATTTTTTCTAAGTTTGGAAAAAAAGTTCATCAGGTTTTTTTTTTTTTTTTTTTAATTCTCTAGCTAACCAAAGACAGGTACGAGTGAAGCTCATTATCACAAAAAAAAAAAAAAAACAAAAAAACATGACTTCAAAGAGAAAATTCTTTTTTTACTTCTTTTTAGTTGGAGCTGCTATGGTCAGTTGCGTGCATTAAAAATTCGCAATAAATAAAAATACAATAAAAAGTTATTTTTAACCATATTTTTTTAATCAAATTTCGGATGTAGCACATTTTTGCCAGTCGACCCACCCAGGTTATATTGTGTAAAAAAAAAAAAATAAAATAAAAATAATTACTTATTTTTCATGGGTTAAAGAAAGAATACTTTTTGTTTTTTAAATTATTATCAAATGTCCCTTTGACAAGAATGTAAATGAATTAACTCTGAAGTACTAACAAAACTTAAGGTTCGATTGTAATGTAGCATCTTTCGAGGATCGAACTTGAACTGATGACGTTTAAAAATGTGATAGCAATACTGTAAAAGTGGTCAATTGAATACTGACAAAATCTACAATACTCTTCTATTGAAACCATGAAACGGTAATTTTTTATTGTACCGTTGAATATCTGTGTAGTAGTAATTTGAAAACGGCTCCAATATTAATTTGCTTCCAGAGGGTACCACCAAAATAAAGGAGCTTTAACATCTACAATGCAAAACTAAAAACAAAACACCTTTTGCAGCAGGAAAAAAAATTGAAATCAACAACACCCAAACGTCCAAATATTCTTTTCATGATATACTAAATGACTTAGTTTCATTTTCAATACTTACCTGAGATTTTTTCCTCTTCAACTCATCATCCGTTAGTAAGAGCGAGCGGAGTCCGTTCCTTTGGACAATAATAATAATAATTGCAACAATAATGACGGAAGGATCGTAAGAAGACTAGTAGGAATAACAGAGCGGACTTGAGTTGCTTGGTTTTCTTCTTCTTCTTTCTCTTCTCCCCGACTCACATGATTCTCATGCTGTCGTTCTTTCTTGAGCGACATGACTAGTCGCTTGACAGGTGCTGCTACTACCAGCCTCGTTGTCAGTTTGACTGTTATCGACTAGTTGTGGATGGTCTTGGCTAAACACTTCGCGTGTACGCGTCTAAAAACACGTGTTTACTTGTGTGTTATTTATTTATTCTCTTCATATTTATTTATCCAATTCATTCAGTTTGTTTATATCTTTCTACCTATCTATTTCAGTATGGTCTTTCTTTATCTATCTATCTATCTATCTGATGATGATGATGATGATCTCCCTGGTAAGTTTTATTTGAAAAATATAATGACAGATAAAATTCTGGTTGTAAGGAGTATCATCATTGTCAAGTCCATGATCAGGTGTGGTCATTTGGTGACTGTCCAGATGAACACCTGACCAGTTCATTCTACATATCTGGGTTCAAAGTCAGAGATATTCAGTGTCTTGGGCAAGTAGATCTGGTGCAGCCCATCCCTCTCCAGGTCAAATCACAGCCAATGTCCTTCAACTTGAAGGCTCACCATGGTCATAGACATATGGCCATTGAATTCATCAAGGGAGCCTTCTGACCTGGCTGTTGAAGCCCTCCACCTAATGATGTCATGTCATCACTGCACTGGCTGTATACATAGCTGTGGAGCCCAGTATGCTCCATTGTGCTAAATGGCCATTAACCCAACAAGAAGGTTCATCTGCCCTTTGATAGGTCTTGTTAGGTGTCATGCCACTTTCCTTACCAGAAAAGCCCAGGGGAGTGTCTGGTTTAGTGGCTGATGACCTGACATTGCTGCAAGTAGTACTTAGTTATATTCGCCTCCGCTAAGAGGGTCACATGTACAGAATGCCCCACTCGACTCCCACATATCCTGTTGGAGAACTCACCAGCAGCAAGAGGCTATGCAGAGACCCAAAATGGTACTTCAAGAATCAGTTGAAAACATCCCTGAAACAGTCCAACGTCAACCCTGAGACCTGGGAAACTGTTGCTGCAAATTGATCTTCCTGGTGTAGGACCATCTGAGGTGGGTGTGTGTGGGGGGGGGACTTTCGAGTTCAACCATCAACATGAAGAGGATCTGCGACATGCTGACAGGAGGGTCCAACAAGCTCAGCCATGTCCACCACCCTCAATCCTTTGTGACTCCTGCTCATGATTCTTTAGGAGTAGGATGGGCCCTCACAGACATCTCCGTCACTGCCACCAGAGAGGAGAAAAGGAATAAGGATGACAATCCCAATGTGAGTGAGTGCCAGCAACTGAGTTCCATGGTACTTGTAGCATCATAGTACTTCAGTACCATCTTCATTTTTTCCTGTTATATGTTCGGAAAATTTGGACATTTTTTTTTATCTCTGCCCACTTCACCAATCACCTGCTTAGCTTTGAATAAATTTTTTACACTAATAAATTAAATATTTATATTGGTAGAGAAATGCATTTGATGATTTTCTTTTAAATGACATGTCCCTTCATGATGTAGATGATCATGGCTCTCTGCAGATCTTCTTTTATGTACCCATGTACAGATAATGGTTCTCCATAACTTCCTATCCTTCATAGCTCTTAGTAACATTTGTTTTTTATTATTGTAGCAAAAAAACACAATTTACACATAGTTAAAGATAACAAATTAAATCCAAATTTATATAATTATTAGAAAACATATCTCTAACTACACACCAATTTTCATCTAGCTAAGTCACACACTCTACTTGAAAACAAATTTTAAAACAAACACAAATATACCAGAGTGCTGGCCATTATCAATATGACTCTCGCTTGCCACTGATATCTACAGCTATGTCCATGTATTTCCCTTATATAGGCTATAAGAGAAGTCAGAAATGGAGAGAGAGCAGAGTGAGTGACTGCACACACCCACACTAACCATAGAGGTTAACCAGAGCACAGCTGACTGCTTATCTGAGCATTAGGCTATGAAAATGACCTCCTTGTGAGCACAGAAAGAGAACAGACTCTACTATCAACGTGACAAGCCCACACCAATAGCCAACAAGCAGTCAGCTGGCTTAAGCATACTCCTTTTTAATGCTCACATTTCACACTTTGTACACCATACATTTGAACACTACACTAAGCAACTTACCAGAGACATTTTCATATCTTGTAAATGAAAATAAATCTTTGGTCATTTCTCCAAACCAGTGTCCTCATTATGTGTCCTAGAAATTACAGCTATTTCTGATTTTAAGTATGTGTCCTTTTTGTTTCTATTTTTTTTTAAAACTTCCTCATTGTTCACATGTTCCATACATGATATTCTCAGCATCCTTCTGTAGAGCCACATGTCTGTTGTCTCAAGTTTCCTCTTCATCTGAGAGGAAATTGTTCAGCATTCACTACCATATTTTTTTTTAACCATTTCACCTCAAGCAAGGCGATAATGCCTCTAAGACACAAGAGTTTACTGAGAGTGAAAGAGAATAAGAAGACTTTAGAAGGAACTGGAAACCCAATCCTAAACAGGAAACAAGGGATATGCCTCTATTCCTGTTCAATAGACAGGGAAAGAGTGTGAACCAGGTGATAGGCAAACATATCTACTCCTATTAAAATTTATAATGACTATTATTATTTTATTACTAATTTTACTCTATACTTTTACTTTTGTGAAAAAAGGAAATAAAACCAATAGATAAAATAATAATAAAGAATAAAAAAAATAAATTCATTTACCCATGATGTGAGTTATAAAGAAACCAGAAAGGGTTTCTGGTCATGTGTCATTTTATGACCCCAATTCCAGAAAGGACAGAACCTTTCTCTTTCCACTTTTCAACACGACCATTTGGACAGGTTTTCAGCAGCCCTACTCATGAAGTAGAGATTAGGCCACCCCAACTCAGCACAAGGCTGACTTGAGCTTGATCATCTTTACCCATTCTTATCCTTACTTCCTATAAATTATTTCTGAACCAAAAAGGAAAACAGACATACTCAAGAGACATTTAACTTTGTTTCAAAACAGTCAACATAAAAGAAATAAATGTCTGCAGCAGAAACTCAAGGGTTTTGTATGCTGCTTCTATCTTCTATAATGAACATGTACCCTCATCTAAAATACTCACAAAACCCACAAGCCTATTTAACATCAACATTTTTAATCACCACACTATGGATCAAATACTCTTCAGATGCAAATTGGATTCTGGCAAGACTTGCGCTTGCATCCCATATGTTAAGGAACTTGTCTCAAAGCGTGAGATCAAGTCTCTTTAGAAGCAATATCTTAATTCTTGATTCCCTGTTTACTGTTCTCTTGGTCAAAGAGTATTTATATTACACAACAGTTTTTTTCTCTTTTCTTTGTTCATAATTAAATTTGTCTGTTTCTTCATATTTTGCTTAGATTTTTGTTATTCCTCTGTGTCTTCAGATTTTTATGCCATATTTTCCGTTCTATGTTAAAACACTTCACAGATATTTCAATTTTTGTACTTGGTTGATTTAGATATCTCCAATTCACAGCTCACATCTTACAATTGATGGTTAGTCCTTTCTTCTTGCTTTTCTTTAGTACCTTGTCTCAAAGTTCCTGCAGTCTTCTTTCTGTATCTGCCACCAGCACAGTGTCATCTTCATATCTTATATTGTAAAGATTGTATCCACCAGTTATAAATCCTGTCAGGACTTCTCATTCTCTTAGGATTGCCTTTTTATTATCTGAACTGGGGTTGGATTTGATTGGGTTGATTGATTTTAAATGTTGAATCTTGTTAGGTTAATACTGAAATCAGTCTTATTCTTTAACATTTTATTTGTCTATAAGCATTTCCTCGCCCAATGGGGTAGAATGTTATAGTTCCAGAAATTTCAACTGTCTCTTACAGTGGATAAATGCATTGGTTAGATTCAGTGACAGGACCCAAAGAGTGTGAGTTCAATGCCCGGTTAAGGTGGTGGAGAACTTGCAGAGAGAAATTAACAGGAGATAACTGATAACTGACATCCATCAAATATGGTATGTGGAACTAGAACAGTCTACCCCATTGAGCGAAATAAAGGGTTCAGTTTGAGATTCCAACCACCTGAAGAAGGCTGGAGCGTACAACATCCGAAACGTTGTGATAAATATGGCGACAAAGATGAGGACAATAGTCCGAATAATGTAAATAGTGTGTTTATAGGTGCACCTCCAAAAATCTTGATGACCAGAATCTGGCAGCTAATATATCCTCTGACCTGACTCATATGGGTCAATTGGGGAAGGACTGTCTTGTAAAATTCAGTATATCCAAAACCAAACTTGTTACATTCCACCACCACTGAGTTGACCTTGAGTTTTCACCTATCATGTTGGATGAGTATTCTCGCAAGGAGGCTGCTTGCCTGGAACATCTCTTGGGACTCAAGCTCACCCCAGACCTCAAGTGGGACATATATTGATCTATTGCTAAAAATGCTAGAAAAGTGGTTAATTCATTGTACTACTCCAGTAAGTATCCAACTAACCCAAGCATACTCTATCTTCACAAGAGCCTGATCAGACCAAAATAGGAGTATTGCTTCCGTATCCAGCCTGGAGTTGCCTACTTTTTACTTGCTTGTCTTGATAGAATCCAAAAACGTCTATGTATGTGATGAATTGTTTTCCACCCTTTCCCAGAGATGAGACAGCACAAACTTCTCCCTACTCTATTTCTGTGGCAAGTGTTCTGACAAGCTATATTCCTTGGTTTGAACAGGCCTGACTTTTGCAACTGGGACCCACCATGCCACATACACAAGGATGAATCATCTTCATTCCCTTCATATTCCATTAGTAAGGAGTAAGTTCCACCAGGACAGCTTCTCAGGGACTGCTGCTTTGTAGAACACACTCCCAGCAGGATATTTTCCTGATCACTACAATCTTAATTTCTTCAAGTTTAGGGTTTGTGGAGAAATATTACTCTGAAACTTTGGAATAATGACAGAATCAAAGGTACAAACAAATAATAGATGTTTATTTATTTGACACAAGTTCTTTGTAATTCAGGTTGGTGAAAGTCTATTCAGCTTGGTAGTTGATAGTTTACAAGTCAAACTTTGGTAGTAGTTGTTATGTGGTTGGCAACTGTCAGGAGTGTGGTTACTTTGGAAACTTGTTGCAGACATCAATTTGCTGTGTATTCTTGACCCTCAGAAGGAAGGAAAAATGTTCTAAGCAGATGACCGCTTAGTTTCTTCACGCAACATGCTTGGCTAGTTTCTCTGGCTGTCCCTTCTCTACTGCTGTCTGTCAACTGTCTCTTTATATACATTTGAGAAAGGCTCCA